GTATATTTTTTTTCAGATTAAAAGTACAAGAGCCTGTTGCCAATTGGAAATTTTTTGAAAATAAAACAAGTATCAATACTATTATGATGGAAGCATCTTGGGATGAAGATGAACTTGAAGATTTATATGTTGATGTTTGTGCATTCCCAATAATTGGATCTAACCTTTGTGAAGCTGACAAAGTTGATAAAAATTTGAAAGTAATTTTTAAGGCACAAATCATTACAAATAACTAGAAGTTGCTAGTAATGTACAATTTACTTTTTTATTGAATATTAAATATATTAGTATCTTAACATCATGGGTGCAACAAGCAGAAAAGGACCATTGGCAAAAATCTAATTTAGAGAAATTGTCAAAAATAAAGATCAGCAACATCTGAAGGATTTTATAAATTTAAAAAATATTTCAAAGTTTATTGAGATATGTGGGTATGGTTCCTAAGCTAACCATGTTCTTCAAGGCAGATCACATATAGATGTGATCTTAACCTAAACTTGATAAAAATGCCTTTCTGCTTGTTGCGCCCCATATATCATAACAATCCTTTTTTACCTGTTTAATAAAGTTAATTTGGGTTTTAAATATAAATGTTGAAAATTAGTCAAATTTTTCCAAGGTAAAAAATAGTTAGCAAAAATTCCATCTTGGAAAGATTTTGATAGAAATTTTAATTCTAATCAAAAATGTTCATGGCCTGATCTTCCAATATCAACATCATTTTGCCAATTATTAGATAAATCTATCTTTGATAAGGTTTTGTTGAAATAATGGATCCTTTACCAGAATTATTGTACAACACGGAGTTTGTTTGATATTAATATTAATATAAATATTTCATTATTTGTCCTTTTGTCCTTATGATTATATAACGATCAAGAGGTATTTTTGCTATTAGAGACAGTTAGCCATCAAAAAATGCCACCTTTATAATTTCGTGAAATTCCAAGTATTTAAACGTATTGAATTCATTAGAGTTAAAATACAACTTTTAGATAGATAACCTTTCAAACATATAAACTAATTAATTAATTAATCATACTGAAATAGACACATTTTAAAATTATCTCTTATTACGAATTGTTGGATAGTTGAAGAGGCAAAGCCATTGTGAATGGTTTCGTAACCCTTTCTAATGATTAATTGTTGGCCAGCCTTTAGTTATTAGTCAGGAACTCCTTTTTTAGGGACTCCTCAAATAGTATACTTGTATGCACATTTTTTGAGTAAATAAAATTAATGTATTCTCATGCAATTATAATTGATGATAAATCAAGAGAAGAATTATATAGTTATAGGATGCTAATTACAAAATAACATCAATAGATATTTTACTAAAATATATTTTTAGATATAATTTTATCCAATTCCATTGTAAAGCATAGCAGTTTTTCTCAGATTTATATAATAAATCGACAAATAATGTTGATGTTACTAGGATTAGAAGAACCAGATCATGAACATTTTGATAATAAACAACACTATGTAAATATGGTTTCAATCAAAAGATAAAACAATTAACAATCAGTTTCGGTTTATAATAAATTGTTTTAAAATCCCCCTCAGCAAAGAAAAATCCCCAAGGCAAAAAATAGTCAAAATTTTTGCATGAAAAATTTTGACCTGGAGAACTTCTTGGCTACTTTTCTAAAAAAGGAAAACACATGTTAAAATTCTCATTAACTTTATTAAAAAAAAAAGATTGTTAGAAATACACATAATATTACAATATTTAATATTCAAAAAAGTAAATTGCACATAATAACAATAAAGGCTACCAATGACTTCTAGTAGGATGATTGGTGATGATTTGTGCCTTAAAAATTACTTTCAAATTTTTATCAACTTTGTCAGCTTCACAAAGATTAAATCCAATTATTGGGAATGCACAAATATCAACATATAAATCTTCAAGTTCATCTTCATCCCAAGATGCTTCCATCATAATAGTATTTATGCTTGTTTTATATTCAAAAAATTTCCAACTAGCAACAGGCTCTTGTACTTTTAATCTGAAAAAAAAAATAT